ATTAGCAAACCTATAATATTAATAATATATATATTATATATAATATATACCCAGCACATAATAAAAAAAGGGGACCAGTTTTTATAAAACATATAAAAAATAACAACAACGGAAATCTTCGATCATCCCTTGTCGTGCGATTTTGACCTTAAAAGGAATTACCAACGATAGAATGAGCGTTTTTTTTTTTTTTTTTAGTTGGATTAGATTTTGTCATCAGTTCGTTCATGTGTTTCGTGCTAAACGGAGTGTAAGCAGAATACAGCTGCATTGTAATTGCCGAGATGGTCGGATACCCTATTCTACTCTTTCTATTATTAATATTAATCATTTAACTTGCTTTCCGTGCAACGCAGTAAGCTTCTTTATCTCACGATGTTTTTCTTGGGTAACTACAAAGCACTATCAGCGGCACGATTAACCTCCCGGTTTGCGTTGCTGTAATTTTTCATAGACTTCCTCGGCTTGTCGAAAGCAAAAATCCAGCGTGGTCTCTCTCGTGAATTCTTTTTGCGTCTCCAGCTAGTAAGAAAATGATTGACAAACACTATCAAAATAGGACCTGTCTCTTCTCTAAAGAATACTCAAGATCGCCGGAAAAAAATAATATCAAAAGCGCTTTAATCTCAACATTTCATACGTGCCCCCCTATGTTTTTTGACGACCTATTTGGCATTTGAATAAGTAAAAAACAAAAAAATAAGATAGCGACTATTTTCAATTACGTCAGGTGTCCACAGCAGCGCGATGGTCGATAAAGTGTTTATTATTAGCAAAAATATAGCTAAGGGTACTCACGCGGTTGTTGTGAGGGCCTTGTCACGCGTCACCAACCCCCCACAACGAACCTCCTCGTTACCGAAAGAACGTCTTCGTGGGATGCTAAGCTTAGGGCTGTGGGTAAATAAATATCTTATAAAAAACAAACGACGTCATCGAGTGTCCTTTAATGATGAGAAACCTGAGCTGAGCCAGGTCTCCTTTATATCTAGGGGCTTGATTCTTATTTGCCGACGAGCATACCGTTTTGATGTTACATTGGAGTAGAGTCCTCAGAAACGCCCACGTCGTTTTTCCTGTCATTTGTGATATTCCCCTATGCATATTAGTGCTTGGGTTATGTACATCAGTAACATATATCTTACCACTTGAATAAGACCCCAAATAGCACTAAGATAAGGAAAGCTCCGACACCGATCACTATCCACTTCCAGACTTTACTATCTGTATTTACAGGTGGTGATGGGGATATCCCTGGTGTAGTTGAAGGTTTCAACCAATATTCTACATCTGATATATTGACCCCAATAGCGCCCTCCAGTTTAGACTTGAAAGTTAGTACAATAGCAAGCAAGGTATCTCGCGGTAGCACTGACGAGTTTCCAATGGATAGGCCTGGTGGCTGCTGCACGTAAAAGGCCACCGTAAGGAAACCGGGCAAGTTACTATTTGGGTAACCGGGCAGAAGGTGAACCTGGTCAGCGGTGTAATTAACGCCTGAGGAAGGGCTTCGCCTGAAAAAAACAAAACCAAAACAACAAAAAAACATTTTAGTTTCATAGTTTATTATCATTATCATTATCATTATTAATATTTCGCAATTAATGAATTCGGCTTTCGTAGGATAAGAATTAAGCAGATCGAGGAGGGTGTTATCCACCGAGGCCAAAGGCCGAGGTGGATAACACCTTCCTTCTGTCTGAATTGAATATCAACAACAGTGACATGACAGTGAGGTGCAATTAACAAAAATGTCAATTTCTTATTAAAACCTCACCTATTTAAAGTCATGATACGGAAATTGACCATGAAAAAAAAAGAAATTTAAACAAGGTTACAGTCTGTTAACCACTACCAGACGAAAACTTCCCTGATTGTTTCCTGTCCTTTTTTATTCATTTCGTTAGTTTATGAAAGCGTGCATCTTTCTTTGGCTCACAGCACTTAGTTCTGGAGGGTCAAAACCATTTTTTTACGCAAGTCTTTTTCCTAATAGCTCAACGAAAAAGTTAGCTGAGATAGATTCGTTCTTTTTCTTTAATCAGTAATTCAGAACGCCGGATTATTTAGTCCAGTTCTGGCCCCTCCAGTGTCACGCAACGCAGGAAGAGACAGAAGGAATTCTAGTGAAAGATGTTTCAACCACGAAATTTTTCCCGAAGAAAAAATATCTTTTCGACAAAAGAAAGTTTTTCCAAAAACAACCTTTTGTCCAATAAGGCGAATACCCATCCAGTTGCCTCGGTTTGTTGCCTAGCTTTTGTCTGAAGGGAAACAGCGAAAATTTCGGCGAAGTTAGTTTAAAGTACTGTTTTAGTTGTTACAAAAAAATCTCACTGACCCAGTTCATGGATGGACAAAATTGCCTTGCCTTCGACCTGCTGCATATGTTTTGTACCATTGTAAATGCATGCATTTGTGCCAATTATTTTAAAAGACCTTACCTGCGTCTATCCTTTAAAGCACAGCTGGTCTTGTTTTCTGTACAATACTCTGTAGTAGCCAACGCAATTGCTTCTTTAAACGTTTTTTCAATTTGGTTACGCCATGCAAACTGTCAAAGAAGAGCCAACAAAGCTTATTTTTTTACTGTACTTCTTGTACTTCCTGATCCCGCTCCATTCCCATGCATAAGAAGAGTATGAACACTCACCTCAGTTGCCCCGGAAAGTGACATTTGTAAAGCCTGTTTCTGTTCTTCAGATGATGGTTTACGTGGGGTAGGAAAAGCCTCGTCATCAAGCGGACCTAACAACAAAGGAAAAGACAAACTAATTACCTTACTATAACTAGAGCCTCTCTTGGAGAACCCCTATGCCCTGTGACCGCCATTACACACACAAACATACATAAACTTTTTTATACATTAATTAGAAATATGTTACACATAAAAGAAACTAATATTCAAAACCTTCATTATAACTATATGAAACCAAAACAAAAATCTAAATAAAGGTAGCACCCTGTATTTTGGTCTTAAAATCTGCAAAGAATCTTGGGCGAAATTATGGGTAGACAATCGCGACAGGTACGCAGTACTAAATCCATGAACAGGTGTCCAATAGGCCACTTGCACTAAGAGGTCACGTGACCAATGCTTTCTTTAAACAATGAGTTGGAATATTGCTGAAGCCAAAAATTTACAGAGCACATAAAAATTACCTTACACCCGACATTTAAGAGAAAACGTATTTAAGAGAGATATTTCATGGCACTTTGATTTTTCAACAAAGTATTTGTACTGGCCGCCATGTTGGAGGGCATACTCTTGCCTTCCAACATGGCGGCCAAAACTACTTGTTACTTATATCTTGTTAAACGCTTGATAGTTACGCTCAGATATGCTGTAAACGTTACCACATCATCTTTTCAACATTTTCTTTGAAGTTTAAGAGCAAAATTTGTGTTCAGAAAGAGGTAATTTATAAATTTAAAAGCCACAGTTTGGTCACGTGACCAGCTACGAATCACGAATGGCGCGGGTTTCAAAAACCAAATCACTATTATTTTGTTTAAGATATGACCCGCTGGTAGTTTTTCATACAACATCAAACAACTTTCATTTTCATAAAAACAATGTCACATGACCTCTTATTGCAAATGGCCTATTGACTACGTACGCAAAAAGGAGTCGATCATTCAAGTACATTAAACACCTAAGATGGTAATCAAAATTAATGAACCGGCCTGGATTTCAGCTCAGCTATATGATGTGAAGGAAGCAGTGGTGGATCCAGGGGGAGGGTCCGAGGGTCCGGACTCCTCTGTCAGACCTGCCGCTTGTTTGAGACTGACATTCTTCATTGACAAGATCGTATATCACTTTTTGGCTGGCTGATTTTTTTAATGAAACGCGAGTTGCATTAAGCCACTAAACTAAATTCCACGGATATTCAAAAATGTAATTGATTTTGGGTACCCTCCTATGATCTGAACCAAAGTTTTGAACTCCCAATCAAAATTCCTGGATCCGCCCCTGAGGAGAATGCCCAGGACGGCACCAACGACTCGGCTGTTTGAAACTTTCCCCCACAAGAAGAATGCGACGAACAATACCCATCCACTTATATCCAGAATTTGTCTCCGTTATCTATTTCGGCAGTTTCTTAGACTACTGCTCGAACATTCACTTAATAAAAAGAAGGCTCAATAAGGATTTGGTGACTGGTTGCTGGAAAACTAATGCTTTCTTCTTGTTGGGCCATTGTTATTTTCTGCCTAGCAACCCAGACTTAGACTTTTTTTTTTTTTTTTCATTCCTCTAAGAGCCTCTTTACATGCAGGCGGGGGACCCCATGTAGGTAAGGTAACCCGCCTGTCCATATAATCTATCATTCTAACTTGATCACGTTTACATGATAGGTGGGGTGACCCACCTAATGTTACCTCACCTATCTCGGGTCCCCCAACTCCATGTAAACAGGCCTTAAGGTGTTTCGATACAGTTAGTTCAGAGGCGATACCGATATTTTTCAATCGCCTTAAAAGTGATTTTTTTCCTTGTCCGATCGCTATAAAATTTTTACCAGTAATTGGCTATGGATTGAAATATGTGAAAATGTAGTTTTAAATAAATCGATATTACTATGACAACAAACTTTGAAATTGATAAAAGCCAAATTTTGTGTGATCTAGACCTGCTACTGAAAATCCAACACTAGGAACTTAAAGTTTGGTGTTTAGCAAACAATATCCGAAAGAAGTAAAAAATTCTGTATGTTTGAATTCGACTAAAACGAAAAAATATTTCAAACCTTAAACTTTCGATAGCCGTGATAGGTTATTTAATAAAAACGTTATAAATGACTCAAATTATTCTTAAGTAGCATAAGAATGATGCTTAATATCATATTTTGATGCTAGGAAATTTTGGTGCACTTTCGTTCATGCGATCTTGAAATCTAACCCGTTTTCTCACCACCTGTATAACTGTAACTTCATTCAGAATTTGGACTTTTAGCGCTTTCATGTATATCTCCAAAACGACTCGAACGAATTTTTTTAAAATCTCTTCACATAATCTTCATAATGTATATAAAAATGTCTGAAACTTTCATTAAGATTGATTCACTGCAGCACCTTGAAATTTCAGGACAAACTTATCCTACGAACCGGACAAAAATCTGCGTTACAACATTCACTGTTTTGACGTTATGCTAATTTTTCCAAAATAATGCGCACTATACATACCTCCATGACTAGTACATTTTAGTTTGAATTTATCGCATCTTTTGAATGTAAAACATTGACAATACTCACACTGAAATGTACTAGTCATGGATATATGTATTGTCTGTATCGAAACACCTTAACACTGAGATGTTTTTTTTTTTTTCGTTTCAAAGCGCAGCAATCAATTCTCATAGTTAACTAAGATCAGGTAATTTAAAACTCTTAAAAAAGGGAACACGAGACAGCGAGAAAATAAAGAACTCAAAGAAACTGTCACAAAAAGCTGAACTTAACTATTTTCTCAAAAAAGTACTTTCTACGCTGAAGTAGAGGATAAAAGAGAGGAACACAAAATGCCATGAATGAATCAATATTCTATTGAAAAACGATTTCTATCAAAAAAGGAGAGAGGCCATGCAGACAGCGTTTTTACTAAAAGTTGCCATCTAACGTAACTGAAAGATGTCTTGTACAAAGGAAATGACTCTAATGGTCTACATTTTATCATTCAGAAATGGATGGGCAAATCTGCTGCCATGTAGTGTTACTTACAGGATTCTGGTGTCTTGTCTTCAAAGGAAGAGACACGCTGGTTGTTGCAGTTGTTACCAATACAATACTTGATCACACAGTCCAGGAAGGAAAAGCGGACAGGGTTTGACGCTTGGTTGAACATGGAGTTAAATCTTGTTCTGCAGGAAACTGTTTGGTCTTTACCAAAGAAATGATAGGATTAAAGTTATTATTTTAAACGCCGCAGCGTTAATCCGGGGGGAGTACTCTCTTATGAGAGGCTAATGGGACTGTGCCGCTGGATGGGGTCGCATTTTCAATAGACTTACTAGAATGGGGTCGTACGGACTTTTTGGGGTAAGACAGTTCCGCTTCATATTTACGGCTAGGAAAAGTACCAGTCGAGATTGTTTGTGCTGTAGATGAAAAGTAAAGTATTCTCTAGTCAATCTAAAAAATGGGTCAATTCATAAAAATAAAAAGTGTCTAAGTTGGGATCGGGGAAATTACATATTTGCCCAAAAGTGACAAAGATGGGGTCTATAACCGGCCACAGAATAGACTATAACGGGGATAGCGGCTCTGAGAGGCCAGCGACACCTGATAACCAGCAAAAATTAATCTAAGTACCCCTCCTCCCCTCCCCCGGAGCGTTAATAACATTTTATACATTTCTGATTGGTGTTTTTTCAAGGGCGTCGTTTATTTCAAAGTCACATTTAATTTCTTAAACCACTGACGACAATTCCAATAATCTATTTTTAAATATAATGTCAAACACACAGAAAGATATATGAAGTTCGAATTCCAATGGCGACCCTTACTGAGATAGAATCGTAATTGTCTGGATGGTGTAGATTTCCCAGTTGTACCGAGTTTATTTCTTAAGGAAGATTTACACGATCTGAGTTTTACCTACGACTATCGCAAGCGACTTACTTAACGACAGATCGTGTCGTGTAAATTAAACCCACCACATCCGTACGAAAGAAGTTCACGACTCGAAAAATGTCGTAGCGATTTAAAACATGTTTCAAAATCGCAAGACAATCGTAACCCCATATTTAAGAAATTATTTATTAGATAAGCTTCGAAAATTGTACCTGAATGGAATGATCATCTAGAAATGTTTAGCCGTTCTAAAGTAATAGAAAAGTCTAGGCAATGTTTGCTTCTACGAACAGAAATTTTACAGAAAACAGTCGTTGGGTGCCCCTGAAAGACGATCTAACTAACGTTTCTTCGCTTTTAGTACTATACCTGTGCAGTTTGCGCACCCTCGTACAATTAAAGTGCGATTCATGCTCGAGAAAAATTGACTTCTAACTGCCAAGTTAGAGTGCTTCTTATACTTCAGCTTGTATGTCAACGCAGCAGTGTAACAGTGAGTGGATCCTAAGTTGAGGAATTCGTTTGTCGAACAAGTATGGACAGTTTGTATCTTATTACAAATATCAAGGTTCTCAGCTAAGGTTCCTCCGTCTGCGAAGCAAAGGTTACAAGTTCCTGTGAAAGCAAACCAAAGAAAGGTTATACCGAGATCATTTGAGGAACGTTTCAACAAGGATTGTCGTAATTTCTCCAATAACTTGAATGGAAAATCGAGTAAGGTGTACACTCTATCCCGTTTAAGCAGGGCTTTCAAAAGGCTAACAACTTTATGTCGATTTCCTCGGACGGTTTTAGTACTGCGTGTATCATTGCCCCGTTTTCGAGCAAATGTGACTGTAGTACCGCCTCTAGTGGCATTGAACTCACCCTATAGGGGGTTTACCATTTACCACCCAGAAAAGTAGGCTCTGCCTTAATTAATCACGTCAAACCTTTGAAGTCACCGTGAAATGAACTTCTGGACTAGTCAATATTGTTCTCTCTCGTCAAACTGGTTGCGAGCGCGAGCATCCGTTTAATAAACCGATGATCAAAAACAAACCCGCTGTACCAAGCGCGCGACTATTAGGCCTAGGTTCGAAACTGTATCTTAGCAACATGCAGAGCATGCTCAACAAATATCTTACTCGATTCATTCGAGTCTTTCTGGTGAACGCCAAATTTAGGTGAGCAAAAGCAAGGCTATGCTGGCAGAGCAGAAACACAGCAAGGAGGATGGCAAAAAGGGACACAAGAAACACAAGGGTTACGAAATAACCAGGCATTAGTTCGTGTCTTAGAAATACTACGAATTTTTAACGAACTGTTACGAAAAGAGTAAGTTGTCCCCATCACACGGAACTGAAACTCACTTTGAATAGGAGGCTTTGGAGAAGCTGTTATTGGCTGTTTGGTGCTGACAATAGTAGCTGTGAAAATAAGCATAAAGTTAAAAGATAAAACCTCATTGTATGAAAAGTGATAGCCTGCGAAAACATCCGTTTCTCCTCGCTCTCCGCTACTGGGGACGTTTCACGCGGAGGAACGTCTGCGACTCAGCGACAGAAATTCCATAATTATGACGTAAAATTTGTCCGGAATCCGGTCAGAGGCGCTGATTGGTCGACGGAGTAGTCACATTGTTTTAGCTTTTGTTTAGGAATGACAGACAAAAGACAAAAGGCTACAAAGGTCAAATGTTAACGCGAAGAATCTCGAGCAAAACAGTCAATATTTGTGGAATATACTCTTTTCTAGAAGAGGCATTTGTGTTTTGACGAGCTCGTTGGCAGATGAACACAACATTTTACCAAAATCGATTAGAAGACAGGTAAAATTGGACAAATTTATATTTGGAGCCCCATGAGTACCGGATTTATTACGTAAACATTGATTTGCGTCACCAGTATGGAATTTCTGCCGCTGAGTTGCAGACGTTCCTCCGCGTGAAACGCCCCTAGCGGCAAGGAGCTAGGATGTTTTCGCAGGCTACAAATGTGACGACACGTGCATTTAGAACTTAAGAGGATGTCAAAAATGTCTTTTTTTTTTTCTTTAGCTCTTATAGTCCCCCCAAATTTCATTTATTGTGGTTAACGTTTAGTTGGGTTGACGGGCTATTTGAACCACCTAAATTTTTCCTCAGAATTAACAATAATGAGTCTTGTTAAATGTCAACTAAAACAGCTCCATTTAAATTCCATACGAACAAAATCATAGCAGTTTTTAAACTTAATTTTATACAGATGATAGTGTTTCCAAAAAAGTAATGGCGGTGTTGTTGAAAAAATATATCTTGCCGAATTTTTGAAAACGCGCCTCCAAAAGGCCCAGAATATTCGCACAGGAACCTGGCGATAGCCAGGTTTCTGGTCACTATGGTGAGCATTTTCTTAGGGGGCTTGGTGTCCTGGTTGGTCTCATAGTCAAGCTCAGTCTCTGAGCTAACTTGCCATAGGGTGGGAAGGGGTCTCCATGTAAATCCCTAGCAAGGGAGGGTGCTGCAAAAGTGTGGTATTATCCGTTAGTCCCTCTGGAGAATCAATTCACTAATCATGTGCCTGCTTCTAGTTTGTCATGCCAAATTCTTTAAATTTCTGAGGCCGATTGGCCAATGAAAACATTCCCTTAACCCACCTCCTCGGGGGGGTGGGGGGGCGGGGTGGCTGTCAGGTCAGGGTAAGAGCTGAGTTTCTGAGCTGAGTCTAGTTAAGATATATAATACTGTACTTGAAGTTACTGAAATAAGGTTTCCTGTCTTCTACACTTCATGAATTATAATCTTAAAGTTAACAAATTTAAATGCCTTCTATCATGAGCAATTTTAAGACATACTAAGCTAAGGAACCCCCTGGTAAGAACCAAGCTAACCTACATGTAACTTCATAAGACTATAAAAATTTACTTACTCTGAGCAGAAGGCTTTTGGGAGGATGTTGTTGGCTTTACAGATGTGACCGTAGAACCTTAAACAATAAACCAAGTTTAAGAGCAATTCTCTGTCAGTCAAGCAAAGTTTTTCCAAGGGCAATTAACAAACAAACCCCAAATTTCAGTTTTTGTATATTTCATCGCAGTTGACAATCTATCTACTCGCCAAAAAATATCTAAAACACTAAAACTACCTTCAGTATCAAAGAATATTATGCACCGAGTCATTTTCTGGTAAAAAAAAATTATAACTGGTTTTCAGTGTTTTAAGATAAGGCTTACGTTACGGTTTTTTCCACTTCACCGCTTGTAGCGTAGCATTAATATTCAACAAAAAACCCAGTTGTACGAAACTATTCCATGTACGTGCCCGGTTGTGCTGTTTCCCATTGCAAACCCCTGATTGTAAGTCTACTCAGTCACTTACAGCAAGTTATAAAGTGAAACAGAAGTCATACACAAGTCCGTTAGCAAGCCAAGCCCCATAATACGCACGCTTCCACTTCGCATTTACGGCGTATTTCTTCATCAGATGCCACCAGTCGCCCCGAAAAGAGTTAAACCTCAATATTTTTTAGTCATTAAGCCAAGCATCGGAATTATCTACGTATTAAAATCCGAAACCTCAAGTCCAAAAGCTTAGAAAGTTGAACTAGTAGCCACTCTTTGACATCCCCGTCAATATGCAACCAGTCCTGGTCAGCGGTGTTAATCGATTCCACCTAAACAATTTCCGGTAAAAATAAAATCCTTTGTCCCTCACTTCTCATAGATAATGGGAAAAACGACTGCCTGATCGAAGGTTAAATCTACGTTGCTTGGACGGTGAAACGAAATTATTCTTTCTTAGTGAATGTAATCGTCATGTTTCTACTACCTGCAAACTTACGGGCTCAGCAAATTTCGGAAAGGTATTACCGATGAAGTTGACTTCCTACTCTGCCGTGCAGGTAAGTTCATTTTATTTTCTTCACTCTTCTGTAAAGTACTAGGGGGGGGAAGACATGAAGTAACTCCTATGGCCTCTCGCCGTAGGATTTGAAAGAAGATGTGGCTTGGCTTGCTAAGGACTTGTGTATGACTTCTGTGTCTCTTTATAACTTGACGTAAGTGACTGAGCACACTTACAATGGTTTACAATGAGAAACAGCACAACCAGGCACATAGAATGGTTCGAGCAACCGGGCTTTTTGTTGAACATAAATGCTACGCTACAAGCGGCGAAGTGGAGAAAACCGTAGAGTAAGCCTTATTTTGATCAATATTGTTCAAAACACTTTTAAAGTCAATTGCAATACTTGGTATAAGGCCACGTGCGGTAATGAAAATGAAATTCTGGAATTTGGTGAAAATTACTGACTGCTCTAAAACCACGCTACAAGATGCGTAATACTGACAACGTAACCAACCTCAAATAGATGCAAAATGCGTGTATGTATATACTTACTTTGATCGGAAGGCTTAGGAGACACTGTTGTTGGGGAGTGTACCGTGGTGACCGTAGAGGCTTAAAAAATAACAAATTTTACAACAAATATAAATTTTACTAGCTTTTTCTAAAAGGTGTTTAAAGGCGTTCTGAACGTCGTGAATATAAACTTCTTGAAATTGGTTGGCATCAGAGGAGTTCTAAAATCGAGCAATACTATAAACCAATACCTAACTACAAAAGAATAAAAATTTACTCACTTTTAACGGAAGGCATTGAGGAAGTTGTTGTTTCTACAGAGGTAACTGTAGAGGCTTTTTGTACAGAGGTGACTATAGAGGCTTTTTGTACAGAGGTGACTGTAGAGGCTTTTAGTACAGAGGTGACTGTAGAGGATTTAAAGGAATTTCAAATTTTAGTTTAATTATAACATGACTATAAACTGATGGAACATGTTTGACTCCTATTAGAGTTCCCTTGTTTTCAGCAAACTCTATTATTGCTCTTCGTCTCGGGTCCAATACCAGCAAACGCAACATCAAGAAACTACAGTCAGTCCAGAACTTAGTAGCACGAATCGTACCTGGTCTCAAAATTTCGATCATATTTCACAAGGAATTAAATCTTGAAAACTGGCTACCTGTTAGTGACAAAGTATGCTTGAATGACGCTGTAATGACGTTCAAATGTATAAACAATCTCGTTCATAATTACATGGCCGAGAAATTCAGCCGACGAAGCCAAATTCACACGAGAAGCACATGACAGAGTTGTCAGCTGTACCTTCCGAGATGCCGTCAGTCAGCGGTCCTTCTCCTACAGAGAGTGGCTTTGGAATGGCATCAGTGATAATGTTAAATCTACTGATTCAGTCAACATGTTTAAGAAGCGACTAGTCACTACTTCTTTCCAATCACTAATTGAATTTGTAAATAGCTAGTTCTATCTCATTTATCACTTTTATTATCTAATTGTTTTTGACATTTCTTTTATTTCCTGCTTTTTGTTGCAATTTTTCAATGTTTTTGTTATTGTTGTTTGTTGTTTTGTTTCTTGTTTTTGTTGTTTGGTTAAATTATCTTGTAACGGAAACAATTAATTTTTTTTTTCATCTATGTATTTATACTTAGGTTTTCTTTGTCCTGTAAATCATGAACCATCTGGAAGTTGACGAAGAAATTAAGGGAGATCTTAAGCCGAGAAATATTGCGTAATGTAAAACTAAGAAAAAAAGGGCCAGAAAACATTATAACAAGTATTAAAACTGGACACGCTGGCTACAACAACATACTCACTATGGAATGGCGCCTATTGAAAAGCGTCGGCGTTAAACCGTTGTTCCCGTGACTATTTGCGCGCTTACAAAAGATGCCGACGCATGTCGCGTCCTTTGACTCTCTGAGTAAAGTGTTAGCTTATTGTTCCCACGATTCAAAGATAATTTAATTTAAGCAAATCGATACTTTGTCCTCTGACAAGATGATCGCGAGATGCTTTTCCGGTACTCTCCTAGCTTTTTATTAGGAACTCCAATAGCTCAACTAGTAAATTGTTTTGACTTTTAAAAAATAATAAGGATTTTAAAGCCAGCAGAATGTATAGAATGTAAGAAAAAAAAAGAATAAAGTCGAAGGATTGCGAATTGCACTCGGAGTTGTTTTTTTTCAGCATGCAGATTAACTATCCTTTCCATCAAACTGATTGGAAATATCCTGGCTATTTTTAGGCTGGTGGCGGGCTGAAAAGTAAAGACAGACTGAAGAATTGAAAATGAAGGGAAGACACTTGGTATCACCGAAACGTGCCGAAATGCTTTGTAAGGATACCTGTGCTGGGTACTTCATGAAAATAAAATCGTGTCGAGGTTGGTGAGAATCACAGGATCTCTTAAACAGCGAAAGGGTGCAAGGGAGTAAGGATGTCGCAGAGATGAGAGCACTCGTCTCCCACCAATGAGGCCCCGGCTTCAAATCCCGACGTCGAAACCATATTTGGGTTGATTTTTTTGTTGGTTCTCTCCCGGCCTCCGAGAGGTTTTGCTCCGGGTACTCCCGTTTTCCCTTTCTCCTCAAAAACTAACACTTCAGTCCAAATTCCAATTCGATCTGGAACGCACGGACACGTTTTAACGAGTTCATAAGAATTCCTAAGTGCTTCGCATGTAGGCAAATTAAAATTTTCAAATTACAATTACTATTAACTTGACAATTGCCCGGAATACTAAGCTGAGACCAAGCTCAGTACCTGCATCTCACTGCATACGAGTAGAAGTTCGTAAGTCTTATAATGGGTATTAATTGAAACTTCTAAAATATTGCATAGTGTAATCTGTACATCATGTAGGTAAATTTCTGTTTATTAGATAAAACTAAACAGTAAGAGCTCTTAAACCGAGCAATATTGCAAAATACTACGAAATAAGACTGTATAACTGAAATAGCGTAAAAATATACTCACTTTTATCGGAAGGCGTTCGAGAAGCGGTTGTTGTTTGTAGAGAGGTGACCGTAGAGGCTTTAAAAAATAAATTAAACTCAGAGTTAGTTTGTGCTCATAAAGCCCATGTTTCGCACATTTAAAAACAACAACAACAACAAAACTTATTTTGTAAACGAACTGCTGCCCCAACGATTCAACGGGACCAATCAGAATGCAGGATTTCGAGAATTCTGCCCTCACCTTGATCGAAAGGCTTTCGAGAGGATGAAGTTGGTTGCACAGTGGTGACCGAAGAGACTTAAAAGAAATATATAAAATTTTGAAATTCAATCAAATATAATATATTACGAAAACGTACCAAAATGCATTAATAGGCTGTGTGCGGTATTCATAAAATAAAACAAAAATATTGAAGTTGGTCAAAATTAAAGAGCTCTAAAACCACAAAATAATNTATACTCACTTTTATCGGAAGGCGTTCGAGAAGCGGTTGTTGTTTGTAGAGAGGTGACCGTAGAGGCTTTAAAAAATAAATTAAACTCAGAGTTAGTTTGTGCTCATAAAGCCCATGTTTCGCACATTTAAAAACAACAACAACAACAAAACTTATTTTGTAAACGAACTGCTGCCCCAACGATTCAACGGGACCAATCAGAATGCAGGATTTCGAGAATTCTGCCCTCACCTTGATCGAAAGGCTTTCGAGAGGATGAAGTTGGTTGCACAGTGGTGACCGAAGAGACTTAAAAGAAATATATAAAATTTTGAAATTCAATCAAATATAATATATTACGAAAACGTACCAAAATGCATTAATAGGCTGTGTGCGGTATTCATAAAATAAAACAAAAATATTGAAGTTGGTCAAAATTAAAGAGCTCTAAAACCACAAAATAATGTTTAATACTAAGAAAAGAACTAAGTCTAATTACATGTGACTGTGTAAGACTATAAAAGCCTACTTACTTTGATTGGAGGTCTTTGGAAAAGCTGATGTTGGTTTTACGGAGGTTACTGTTAAGGCTTAAAAAACATCAAATTCAAAATAAGAAGCAATACTTAATATTACCAGAACACAGCCAGTCAAATTCAATATTAGTATTAATGACTTTGGTACAGTGGAACCCCTCTCTACAGACACCCGCTTAATATGGTCACCCGAATTAACTGAGTTCCACTGTACTTCATAAGAATAAAATTCTGGAAATGATAATATTTGTTTTAGTAGTTCTTTTTTAAAACTTCCAATAATACTAAGAATAGTAATGATACGATAAGAAGGCAAGACATAACAATATGCTCACTTTGATCGGGAAAACTTGGGGAAGCTGTTGTCGGTTGTACAGTGGTGACAGGAGATGCTTTAACAAAAATAAAATTCATTAGATTAAGTGTTACACTGAGTGTTAATGGAAGATGTTGAAAACATGGACGGAAATCAAAGGAAGACTAAAACCACTAAGCAATAGTACAAATACTATAACCTGCACCAAAAATACATACTCACTTTGATCGGAAGGTTTTCGAGAAGCTGTTGGTGGTTGTACAGTGATGGCCGTAGATCCTTCAAAAAATCGGCATCACACTTTAAAATTACACGAAACACTAGGTATTGCCAAAACTTGCTAAAACTGCATTCAGGATACCTTTGTGTATTACTTCTTGAAAAAAGAAAATCCTCGATGTTGGTTTCAATTACAGGAGCTCTCAAAACAGGAATAGATGCCATGTACTCACTACCACGTATCATTTTTAAATTTATATATTTTGGTTTAACTACTTTTTAAAGCTTAGCAGTCATCACTGTATAACCAACAACAGCTTCTCTAAAAAGAAGCTGTTATTGGTTATACAGCGATGACTGCCAAGCTTTAAAAAGTAGTTAAACCAAAATTTAAAAAAAAAATGATACGTGGTATTTCCAGAACGAAGTTTAAGGTTCCTTAAGGATTCACGAGTTCAGTACTTAATGACAAACGAGAATACACATATGTGGAAATCGATGAATTTTAATAGACTGCTAAGTGATTTTAAAACTGGGCAATGTTGCGTAGTAATAAGGAACCAGCCCCAATAAATCAAAGAAACATTGCCTATACCTGAACTGAAGCCAGCTTTCAATGTAAAGGTCAGTAGCGAGAAGCTGATGCTTTATTAATCAGCTGTTTGTTTTCATAGATTAACTGAAAATTTTTGTGCTTAATCTCGGTCCCAGTCCCGTTTACTATTATGTATGTACAGTTTTCAAAATTGTAACGGTACCTTTGAAAATGCATGTTGAGTAGCATACGAAACGTCAAGTTTATAAAAATATGAATAAGCTGAATATGTTTATTACCGCTGTTTGAGTTCTATTTCTTATCAAGCCACGATGGCCCAAGAGCAAAAGTCTTTATGATATAGCCCACATAACAGCATATAAACCGAGCAATATTGCAAAATACTAAGAAATATGACTGCCTAACTGAAAAAGTGTAAAAATATACTCACTTTTATCGGAAGGCGTTCGAGAAGCGGTTGTTGTTTGTAGAGAGGTGACCGTAGAGGCTTTAAAAAATAAATTAAATTCAGACGGTTAGCTAGTGCTTATAAAGCCCATGTTTCGCACATTTACAAACAACAACAACAACAATACTTGTGAACGAACTGTTGCCAGAGCGATTGGAACAATCAGAATGCAGGATTTACAAAATTACATCCTCACCTTGATCGAACGGCTTTCGAGAGGCTGAAGTTGGTTGCACAGTGGTGACCGATGAGACTTGAAAGAAATATAAAATTTTGAAGTTAACCCAAAACAAGATATTACGAAAGCGTACTAAAATGCATTATTAGGCTGTGCGCGGTATTCATAAAAACCAAAATATCGAAGTTGGTGAAAATTACAGAGCTCTACCACAAAATAATGTGTAATAATTAGAACCAAGTCCAATTATATGTAACTGCGTAAGACTATGAAAACTTACTTACTTTGATTAGAAGTCTTTAGAAAAGTTGATGTTGGTTTTACAGAGGTCACTGTTAAGGCTTAAAAAACATCGAAATTCAAAATAAGAATGACTTCTTAGTATTACCAGAACACAGCTAGTCAAATATAATATTAGGATTAATGACACCCGCTTAATACGGACACCCGTATATAATGGACACTTCCGATTGTCCCGACACTGAAAAATCTCATATATTTCATTTAAACCCACTGAACACAAGACTCCTGGATAATAAGGACACTATCTCATGTCTCCATAGTGTCCAGGCATATTAACTGAGTTCCACTGTACTTCATGAGAATAAAATTCTGGAAATGATGATGTTTGTTTTAGTAGTTCCTTTTTAAAACTTATAATTATAGTACTAAGAATAGTAATGATGAAAATGCATAGACATAATGATTTACTCACTTTGATCGGGAAAATTTCGGGAAGCTGTTGTTGATTGTACAGTAGTGACCGGAGAGGCTTTAAGAAAAGTAAATTTTATAAGATAAAATGTTATGCTGGGTTTTGATAGAAGATGTTGAAAACCTGGACCAAAAAGACATACTCACTTTGATCGGAAGGTTTTTGAGAAGCTGTTGCTGGTTGTAGAGTGAAGGCCGTGGATGCTTTAAAAACATCGGCATCACACTTTAAAATTACGTGAAATACTATGTATTGCCAAAACGTGCTAAAACTGCATCCAGGATGTCTTTGTTTAGTACTTCTTGTAAAAAGAAAATCCTGGATGTTGGTTCAAATTACAGAAGCTCTCCAAACGACAAAAGATAAAAATGCGAGTATACTCACTTTGTCGGGAAGCTTTTAGAGAAGCTGTTATTGGTTATACAGTCACGTACAGTGATGACTGTTAAGCCTTAAAATCTAATACGTGTTATTACCAGGACAAAGTTAAATCTATTCATGTATTTTACGAGAATACAAAAGTGGAAATAGATGAATTTTAATAGACTAAGTGATTTTAAAAGTGGCAATGTTACGTAATAATAAGAAACAAGCCCACATAGCTGCACATGACCGAGCAACATTTCAAAATACTGAGAAATAGGACAACCTAACTGAAAAAGTGTAAAAATATACTCACTTGCATCGGAAGGGGTTCGAGAAGCGCTTGTCGTTTGTAGAGAGATGACCGTAGAGGCTTTAAAAAATAAATCAAATTCAGAATTAGTTAGTGCTCATAAAGCCCATGTTTCGCTCATTCACAAATAACAACAACACTTGTAAACGAAGTTGCCACAACGATTCAACGGGACCAATCAGAACGCAGGATGCCGCGAATTCCTCCCTCACCTTAAACGAGAGGCTTTGGAGACTCTGATGATGGTTGCACAGTGGTGACTGAAGAGATTTTGAAAAAAATATAATTTTTTGGGAAATTTAGCCAAATACGATATATAACGAAAACGTACTAAATGCATTTTTAGGCTGTGCGGCTGCGCGATATTCATAAAAACAAAAAAATCGATGTTGGTGAAAATTACAGAGCTCTAAGACCACGAAATCATGTGTACTACTAAGCTCAGAACCAAATGAATTACAAGTATAAACTGCGTGAGATCGACTATAATTGAAACCTACTCACTTTGGCTGGAAGGCTTTGGAAAAGCTGTTGTTGGTTTTACAGAGGTTGCTGTTGAGGCTTTAAAAACATTAAATTAAAAATAAGAATAAATACTTGGTATTACCACAACATAGCTACTCAAATTAAGTAATATTAGGATTAATTAAAATTATAAATTCCCTTGTTTTGTAATGCGCCTCACCTAGTGCGCATAACACTTTTTCTAGTCTAGTTTTTTTTTTTTTTCGGAACGTGTTTAAAATGTATTAATAGGATTTATGTGCGCTAAACGTCATGAAACAAACTTATTTTTAAAAGGAGTTTAAAACCGAGCAATACTAGAAACATTAAGACCTAACTGCAAAAGTATAAAAATTTACTCACTTTTATCGGAAGGCGTTGTAGAAGCTGTTGTTGCTTGTACAGAGTTGACTACAGAGGCTTTAAAGAAATTTCAAATTTTAGTTTAATTACAACACAACTGCGAGGGTCACTTCTCCATTTACTTTCATTTCCGCAGGTCTTATATACAACTATCACATGATAGAGAATGTTTTACTTTTACGTAGGTTTCCATCACTTCATGGAAATAAAATTCTAGAAGCTGGTGAAAATCTCTCTTATACAACACAATTACCCGGAATACTAAGCAAGGACCAAGCTTACTTACATGTGACTGCATAGGATTAGAACAATCGAGTCACTTTGATCGGAAGCCTTTTGAGAAGCTGTTTCTCTTTTCACAGAGGTGACCATAGAGGTTTTAATGTATTAAACTCAGAATTAGCTAGTGCTTATAAAACTAAGCCCATGTTTCAAAGGAAAGTTGTATAATTTAAAAGTTTCAGCTCATTCACAGGCAATAAATGACCTTGTAAAAGAACTTGAAGCTGCCACAACGATTCAACGGAACCAATCAGAATAATGCATGATTTTGAGAACTCCGTTTTCACCATGATCGAAAGGATTTCGTGAAACTGATATTGGTTGTAAAGTGGTTACTGTAGAGGCATTAAAAACATACATAAAATATTTAAATTAACATTAAACCATACAATTGCCAGAACGTAACGAAATACATTACTAGGATACTTGCGCGCGTTTTTCATGAATCAAAACAAAATCTTTGCGTTTGAGAAAAATACAGAGCTCTAAAACCGGCAAATGTTGTGCAATGCTTTAAAGACAGATCTTATCAACGAGTGACTGCGTAAAAGTAAAATCTACTTACTTTGATGGGAAGGCTTTGGGGAAACTGTTGTTGGTTCTACAAAGGTGACTGTAACGGCTTTAAAGACATTAGATTTAAATTAGAAATAATACCAAAACATTAATATTAGGATTCATGAGTTTGGTACTTCATGAGAATATTATTCTGGAAATTCATGAATTTAAGTAGTGTTTTAAAACCAGACAATAATACTGTATAGGCATGACAATCAGAATGTATAGGCATGACAATCTACTCACTTTGATCGGACGGCTTTCGAGAAGCTGTTGTCGGCTGTACAGTCATGGTGGCCGTAAATGCTTCAACAAATAAACACATTAAATTTCAAATATTGAACACGATACTTGGTATTACAAGAACAGCGTGGTTAAATGTGCAGTTACGATTCATTAGTTTGGTACTTTTTGAGAATAAGATTCTGGTAGGCCTTGTTGCCTAATAACACTAAGAACGAAGCTCGCATAAATGCATATAAGTATTAATGGTAATATATACACTCACTTTGATCAGATAGCTTTCGAGAAACTGTTGTTGGTTGTGCAGTGGTGGCTGTAGACTCTTCTAAAAATAAACCAAATTTAATTTTAGACTAAACCTTATAATGAATATTAATATCTAGGTTGGTGAAAATCACAGAGCTCTAAAGCCACGAAATAATGTATAACACTAAACTAAGAACCAAGTCAATTACAAGCAACAGCGTAAGGTTATAAAAACCTACTTACTTTGATTGGAAGGCTTTGGAAAAGCTGTTGTTGGTTTTACAGAGGTGACTGTAAAGGCTGTAAAGGCTTTAAAAACATCACAATTAAAAATATATAATAACACTTCCTATTCTCGGAACATAGTTAAATGTAATAGGATTGATGAGTTTGGTGCTTCACGAGAATAAAATAAAAGTCCTGAAATTGATGTAGTGCCTGTTTTACTGTGAAACTCACAAGACCGTTAACCATCAGAAATATTTATGGAATGTTGTGTTGCGAGGAAAAAGCTAATAAGGCGTGAGAGAACTAAACTGCAAACAGCAAAGGTAGTTAGTTTTTTGGTTTTGAGGTATGGTCGCGTGTCTGAACTTTATTGTGATTGGTCAGTAAACAATTAACTTTCCTGAAATTTTTCAAGTCTTCGCGGTTTTCTTAGTAAACCGTGCAATAGTAATATATAGATTTAGCCAGAGCTAAAAGCGAAGCTCACGTCAGCGGATACCCTGTTTTGACAGCTGTCAATTGACCATGATAAGGATGTCTAACATCAAGTTAAACACAGGTTACAGGCTCCCACGTTAGCTAGAAAGTTTGATATTTCACATTGGTTTCGCTGTGGTGCGGAAGGAATGGGCGGATGGACAGATTACCAAATTTTCTTAGGTGTGGGGCTCCGCTCGCGCGCGTGGAGCTCCGCTACTAGAAATGCATCGGAATCTCAGATGATACACTCACTTGGGTCAGGGGAAGACCTTTGGGAAGCTGTTGTCGGTTTTACAGTGGTGGCAGTAGAGGCTTTAAAAAAAAATCAAATTTTGGATTAAACATAACCCTAGGAATTGCTAGAACATGAGTAACACATAGTTAGGATCCCTATATCGCGGATGAATTGATAGACTTCTGAAAGTCTAAGAAAAATTGCCGCTCTCGGCAAATATGTCGCAAAAATGTGAAAACTGATGAGTAATTCTGGGGCGAAGATATTAAATGGAACATTTGTCATCATACTTACAACCCTGGGCTTTTGGGTGTGCAAATGTGGCATTTACCATCTTTGCCCCTTTGCGACCTCCGTTTTCACATTGTTGCGAGAAACCAAGGAATGGTTGAGTAATACTACGAAATACGACAACGCTGATAATATAACTGACTTAGTACAACTCAAAACTGGAAAGTGTAACCAGAAAAATACACTCACTTTGATCAAAGGGATTTCGAGAAGCTGATGCAAGTTGTACAGTGGTTACGGTAGAGCGAGGCTTTAGAAGAAATTAATCAAAAAAAAAAAAAATTGAAAAAGATGCTTGGGAATCTTCGTTTCATCGCTGCGTGCCGAATGCATTATTAGGATACCCGATTCTGTTACTTCATGAAAATCAAATTTAGAAAGTTGGTGAAAAAATACAGAATCTGGCTCTTAAAACCGCGCGAGGACGAGAAATACCAAGTTGACAATCATTAAGCTTAACTAGTACCTAACTAGTAAAATAATTTACTCACTTTGATGGGAAGGCTTTTGTGAAGTAATTGATGGTTTTACAGAGGTAAACGTAGAGGCTTTAAAACAATCAAAATTAGAATAGTACTTAGTACTAACAAAATATCGTTAAATGTTCTATTAAGATTCATGAGTCAATTTCTGCAGGAGGATATTTTTTAGAAATTGATCAGTTTTAAAAATGCGTGTCATGAATATACCAGGAAATGTTATGTTCTAAGAACCAAACCCACAAAAACCGCATTAATTGACTAATAAACGTCTAGAAATTGATGAGAATTAAAGCCGGGAGCCCTTAAGACTGAGTTATGTGTTAAGAAGTTGACGAAAATTAAAAATCAAAGACCGGGGTAAGTGCCAGGAAATTGATGAAAATTAAAAAGAACTCTAAGGGCAAGTCATGTTGTCAAATACTAAGAACCTGATAACCATCTAAGGCTACCGTAAAACGGATACAAAAACGTGTAACTCGTTTTCCAACATTGCTGCCGAGCGATGTGTAGAGCAGTGTTGCGCGTTTTACCATCCACGTTCAAACCTGCCTTGAAACAAATCAGGTTGTTGCAAGTTACGGGAAGACTGACTTCGAATTCTGATTGGTTAATATTACGCGGGAGTCACGCCATATATGGGAGCAGGAGCCCATTTGATAGGCTCCTGATGGGAGTTACGTCACATGCTGCAAAACCAGCGCAGCGTGTAGAGATTTTGTTGTAGGAAGTAGAACTACTTTCTACTTTCTGCAACATTTTTTCGCAACTTGCATCAATTTGATTTTTTCCGGATAGGTTTTTGATTCGTGAGTGGTAAAATGCCCAACATCGCATTTAGCTAGTTTTGCAGCAATGTTGCAAAACAAGTTGCATGTTTTGATTTTTTTGCCTATTTCACCGTTCCTTACTGCAAAAGTTTGAAAATATGCTCACTTTGATCGGAAGGCTTTTGAGAAGCTGTTGCTGGTGGTACAATGGTGACCGTAGAGGCTTAAAAAAGGATTATCAAATTTCATATCAGTAAATAAAACAGTAAATATTAATGAAACATTTTTGTTATAAACTTTTGACTCCTACGTCACTGAAACTCTTAAAAATCAACTTCTGAAATCTGCTGAGGAAATTCAGGAAACTCTAAAACCGAACAATATTGCGAAATATTAAGAACGAAGACACCAAGACGGCACCGATTGCAAAAGAATGAAAATATAATCATTTTCATCGGAAGGTTTTCGCGAAGCTGTAGTATTTAGTTGTACACTGGTGACCGTATAGGCTATAAAAAATATGTATAAAATTTCAGGCCTCGCGAAGATTCGTCGCGCGCGCAGCGCGTCGACCGCGGTCAAAATTAAAGAGGAGGCCTTAAAACAGCTCAATGACACCTAATACTAAACTACACGTAGGAACAAGACCCATCGACATGCAATTGCATAAGATCAAAATAATCAACTTACTTTGGTCGGAAGGCTTTTGAGAAGCTGTAGTTGGTTGTGCTGAGGTGACCATAGATGCTTTAAAAATGAGTATCAAATTTTAGATTAAAAACAATGGTAAATATTATTGAAACATCTCTGTTATAAACTTTGGACTCCTGGGTCCTTCAAACTCTTATTACGATAATTTACTTACTTTGATCGCTATCGGAAGGCTTTTGAGAATCTGTTATTGGTTGTACCGAGGAGACTGTAGAAGCTTTAACAAATTCTAGATCAAATACAACGGTAAGTAATATTAATGAAACGTCAATACATTAATTTTGGGATTCCTGCGTCCCTTTAAACTCTTGAAAAATGAACTTTTAATTTTACATTTGGACAGGGAACCCTAAAACCAAAATTCTAAAAGCCAAGACAACCAAACTGCAAAGGTTTAAAATCATACGGACTTCCAACTGAAGACTTTCGTGAAGCTGTTGTTAGCTGCACATTGGTAATGGCAGAGGCTTTAAAAACTAAATCAACTTAACCCTCGGACGCACAAGTAAAGTCATACCCCCACCGTTGCACAAAAGAGGGAGGTTGATGGAACCTCTCCCTTGACTTTTTGATATGATGCAATATTTGGAAAAGATTTTGTCTTCAGTAAAAATCCCCTCATCTTCTCAATAAGATGACAGGTATATTTTATGGGTGGTGGCGCTGCTGGAGGCCTCTAACGTCACCAATAGTGACCTAAAAATCAATCGCATCTACAATAATCAACTTACTTTGATCGGAAAGCTTTTGAGAAGATGTTTTTGGTTGTACAGAGGTGACCTTTGAGGCTTAAAAAAAAAATTGAATTAAAAATTAATAATAATAATAATAATAATAACATTTATTTATACCGCGCAAATTCAACTACACAGTTTTCAAATGCGCCTTACAATTAAAGATCCAAAAAATATATAACAATATATAGTCAAATTACACGAATGAATAATTATCTAGTCTATAAATTACAACATTATATCAGAAAAGGCTTTTTTGAAAAGGTGAGTCTTCAAATTACGTTTAAAAACTTCAAATAAAATTGGTATCACAAGAACATCTTTAAATAAATGTGCTATAAGAATGCATGAGATCGGTAGTTAAGAGGAAAAAGTTCTAATTACAATTCATAAAATTTGTTGAATTGCAAATTATAGTGCTTTCAAACCGGGAAATGTTACGGAATAGTAGAAAACAAGCCTATATAAAAGCATTAAAAGTATTATGATTCTACTTACTTTGATCGAAAGACTTGAGAGAACTTTTTGTTGGAAGTACAGTGGTGACCATAGAAGCTTTAAAAAAGATTATCAAATTTTAGATTAAATATAATAGTCGTATATTAATGAAGCATTATCCTGGGTCCTTTTAACTCCTGGGTTCTTTAAACTCTTTTTGAAATGGACAGATCCCATTTAACCGATGCCGACATTGTGAAATACTATGAACCATGACCACCTAACTGCAAGAAAGAGATAATATACTCAATTTTAACAGTTGGCTTTCGCGAAGCTGTTGTTGGTTGAGACTTTGAAAAAAATGTGTATCAAACTCCAGGTCAAAAATGAGGCCTCGCGAAGCCGAGGTTTGTAAATTCGTCGTGCACGCAGCGTGTCGATGGCAATGAACCTTACGAAGGTGCTCTTAAGCCAGACAATGATGCCTAAAAAACTAGGTCAAACTAAGAACCAATTGAAACCCATCTAAATATGTCATAAGACTACAGTCATCTTAACTTACTTTGATCTATCGCTTTTTGAGAAGCTGTTGTTGGTTGTACAGAGGTGGCCGTAGAAGCTTTTAAAAAAATTGTCACATGGAAAATGAAAACCAATAGTTCGTATTTAATCAGAACATTTTTAGTTGACTATTAGGATTAGTGAGATCGGTATTTCGTTAAAATAAAATTCTGGAAAGTGATGAATTTGAAACCGATAAAATCAGTTACTAGATTCAGTTGAAAGCTGGTTTACTAACTCAGAACAAACGCCACTGAATCGTAGCCAACAGTTACCAGCGCTGTACAAACGACTTAATGACGAGATGAAGCAAAACTAACTACGAGAGAACGACTGGAGAACTGAAAATTTGACTAACAATCGACTACTGTTTAACTGTGACCAAAGGCGGATCGAAACGCACCAACTACTGATTACAAGTCTTCACAGCCAATAACATCACGGCTTAACTGACAGACGACCAAGAACATCCCCCCTTGTACGCCCCAGGGTTAAAGTCCCAAGGTAGAGCATAATTGCTGGTTTGGTTTTTTTCGTTGTAAGACGAGTGTATGAGTTTAGCCGTAATGATAAAGTACAGAGTAAAAGTGTATTACTTACTTTGGCTATCAAACACTTGATTAAAGGTTGTAGAAAGCGTTTGGCTTGAAACAGTTGAGAAAACTGAAAAAGAAAAGGCAAAATTTGAAGATAGCAAGTGGTTTCTCAATGTTTTATCCTAGGAAACGACATGAGACGGCGTGACTTTATGTTTTCAGTATTAGCGGAACCCTGCTACACGGCCACTTCAACTGTTGCCTAATTGAATCACTTTGATTTGTCCTGGCAAAACAGCAAACTAATCTTTGAAAGGAAAACCAACTGAAAAGGAAAATATATATTCCTTTAAACTGAGCGTGTCTGTGCCAACTCACAAAAAAGAAAAACTGCCGCCTCGTTATTACGGCCAAAACTTTTTATGGCCCAGAGGGAAACCCCTTCCCCTCCACCTACTCCTGATAAGAGGGGAAGGGAGGTCTAACCGGAGAAAATTTTTATATAGGAAGGCTACGCCCCATGGTCCAATACTTCACCCCTTTTTATCAATTTTTGATAAAGGTACTACTTCTGAAGACTTAATATATTAAAATGAAACAGCTACTAATATACAGTGTTCGGAATATTTTGATCAAATCCCAGTGTGTTTTAAGTCTCAGTCTGAAGCCTTTAAAATTACATTTTTCGGGTGGATACTTCCCCTGTAGAGTATAATAGGGAGTACCTCTGAGGTTATTTGCCTTGTCAACAGGGTTCCACTGCACAAGAACGTGTAGAAGAAGGGGACCATGAACGAACTACCTTCCTAGTTTAAAGAAAATAAAATCGAAAAAACGTACACCCTATTACACTGAATCCCGCCAAACGACCAAAGACTGGTTTTGAATGTCCCAGTTGTTATTATCTTCAGAACTTTTAATACTTTGAGTTGGTAATACGATCGACCAGTCGAATGGCTTGTTACGTGGAGTGTAAATGAAAAACAACAATCCGACAACTTTTACTTTTTTCGTTAATTCTGAAACTGTGTAACTTTTCGTTCGAACTATGACGTGTGATTTGTAGCATTTGTCATTCAAATTTTAGACAGTTAGCCACACAGATTATGCTTTCTTGGCTTAACCTCGTCTCCAGGGCCCTTCTCGGTTTTCAATATCGCAGCGGCAGGAGATTTTGGTACGACAAGACGCATGTAAACCGGAAGTGAGGTCTTCTCCCGTTTTACATGCCTTGAGATAACAAATTTGTAAGGGCGATTTACCGGAGTGTTTCAAGCAAACCGCTGCCCAATGATGCAAAAAGTCCAGTTCCGGTTGACGTCCGTCGCTCAAAAACGCTCTTGCTTAAGCTCCCAATTTAATACCCGATAGGCCCTTTCATATGACCAGAATTTCCTAAAGCAACGATTCTAGTATTAATACATGTATCAAGGGTGACAGTGTTAAATTAAAAGTCTTCATGTGTGAAATTTCAAAATTGCCATGGCAACGTTCTGTTTTAAATCAGGGTATTAAAAGACGCTTTAGAAAGCCTTAATACACGAAAGAGCACATCAAGAAGAATTCTATCAGCTATTTGTCAAAAAGTTCTGAAAACTGATGGCCTTTACCAAAAACTTAAGCTCTAAACTTTTTAGTGCGTCGAGCTCTCGATAGATATGATAAACATGTGATAAATATGTGTCACCCAAGATATTAATAGGTGACTAATCAGCTAAATGGTATACTTGTAAAATTGGGATATAATTTCACTTGCATTTTGTCCAAATCCTAAAAACGCGCGTCAAATTATTCCCTACTTTCACTCCTCACCATTTTATTACACATATCAATGATCATGATCAGTTTAACTGATTTTTTACTGGCCTCCAACTCCAGCAAGAAAAAAAAACACAAAACAAAACAACTATCCACCGAAGGGGAGTTGAATAGTGGTGGGTGGATATACCGAGATGGGAAGCGTCGAGGTATATATCTAGCGCTGTTCACCGACCCTGAGGGGGATAGTTGTTTTCGTATTTACCAAATCAGTTGGATAAAAATGAAAAAAGGAACTTTGTGTAAATAAAAGACGTCACTTAGGCCTCTTTCAAACGTCGTGCTACTGCCGTTCTAAGCTGGCTCGACTTCAGCACGACTCTAACACGACTGTAACAGTCGGCTTGGTTTCAGACGTCAAATTAACTCAGTCGAATAAAATAGCTGTTGTGGAAAACAAAACATAAAAATAAAAAGCGGTTTAGTAAACTGTTAAAATGTATTCTAATGAATTCATAATTTATGAACTGAATTCGGGACGGCAGCACGACTTGCTTTCAAACGTCGCGCTACTGCCGAGCTAAGGTCGAATTTAGTTCGATCAATTTAGTCCTGCACAGCAGTATAGCACGACGTTTGAAACGGGGCTCTAGCCGGTGAGAGTTTGTTTACGTTTCAATTCACGGTGTGTCGGAGATCATTTTTTATGATTTTGTTGCAAACTAATTCAGTGAGAAATTTTTTTTTCTACCGACTAGTAAACATCAAGCCAAATTTTGTCTCTTTCTTGATATTTGCTGGTGCCGCTGCTTCATTTCCCGCTAAAAGTTTTCTTTCTATATTGTCGCGAAACGAGAAGCCATTTTGAATCCCGTCCCAAAACAGTGAATATCCAGGGATATTCCGAGTTGCGGTAGCCAATCAGAATGCGCTAAAATTGCTATGCACTGATTTGGTGCCTGCTAAAAATAAATATAATATGCATACGTTAACACATCAAAGAAGAACTTTGAGCAAACAGAACAAAACAAAGTGCTTTCTCAGCTTCGTTAACGAAGATGCTTAAATTTGATTTGTCTTAATCTCCTTATTAAGCGAGATATTTGAATGTCCTAAAATATACCAATGAACTGATTTACGGAACGTTTTCGATTTTGTTCGAAAGTTTACACCCTATAGTTATTTTAAGGTTTAAGTATTCCTTGCTTGTTTGTCGCTTCACTGGATATGATCAAATCAATGACGCTTCAGTAGCAAGCTCTGAGGCGATTCCGGGCCAATATGAGACAGAAATTATTTATTACATCTCTTGTTCTATTTAAGCAGACCGAAACAAAGCTACTGCTCTCGAACATTTTTGTATTTTGTAGTTAGTATTATCTTTATTAGCACATTATACGCAATCAACTGGCTAACATGTTGTATGCACGTACGGCGCTGGGTTTAACAGCAAGCAATAGCTCAGCAATGTTCCCTGGTTACGAATATTTCCTTTGTTACATCGTATCAAGTGCTGCGTGTTTAAACGCAGAACTAATATTCCTTGTTCTTCGACTGTGACACTGACGTCACAAACCTCCAAGAGTACGTGACCTCATATTCCTTATAGATAAAGATATGCAGGTTTATTTTTTTACTTAAAATGTGAACGAAAAATATAATGACTGTTTTATGTGCTATAGTTTCACTTACGATACAGAAATAGCTAGAGATTATTAAACAAACAAGTTTAAGAAACATCATTGATTAAAACAAAATAGTAATTCCACAACGTTTCAACGATGTTAGAACTTAAAGAAGATGTTGATCCTTGGGAACGTCCACATGGAATAATTTTAACCTAAGTTCCTCTTAAACTTTGATGCACATAGCACAAAGAAAAACTTAACATACCGTTGAATCAATAGTCTTATGGTCAAATCAATTCAAACATTTTTAACCCCTTGTTATATACCAAATATGCATGGCTGATCAAGCTTACCCGATCAAAGAACATGTTATGCACCCTGAAGCTGGATTTCAGCCGAATAAGTTACATCTAGTAAGTCGGTTTGGGAATTCCTATAACGTGTTATAAAAGGGAAAAATGGTGCTGTATCTTATTCAGAAATTCTTATACACAAATGTACATAGACGGTAAAGGAATTAAGTTACATATACAGGTGTGTTGTGAAAAAGAGATATTGGAAATCCATTGACTGGCCATGATTTTCGAGTTTCATTATGTTGTAGGGCAATTATCACATTCGTTTCGCAAATTATTTAGGAATTGTAACCAAAGGAATTTTTCGAATATCCACAATCATTAAAGACAGGCTTATACATTTAACTGCCCGGTCTAACCCCTGAACATTGTTAGAGTACTATATAAATATATCTACTTACAAGTCAAGGCACAAACCGTAAAAATCACCGACCCAGCTTGCGTATTACTAGCCATATTGGTTCTTCGTGAACAAAGCAATAACTGTGATTCCCCACTACTGATGCGTGCATATGTTTTATACATTACTGTTACAGCTACGTGCGTCTTGACACAAACAAAAGGGCAAACTTGAGCGAATATCACAGTGACATATACAATTACATACAGGAAGTTTTGATTCTCTATTAGTTTGACCAACTTTACCAAAGTATTTGAAATATTTTCACTCCATCCTTAAACTAGGTCCGGGGCTTTTCTTTTGGAAGGTGCACTTTCACGTATACTCTCGCTTTCAGTTGTTTTCTAGTTATGGCCACAGTGTTGTCAACTTTTTGCCCCTCCACAGAACATTGGTTAATATACTCGCCGTCTTGACATGTACCTAGCGTAACTATATCTTTATCCCGGGGGACACTCAACAAATTTTCACACGGGGAGGCTTCGCCCGAGGTCCAACCCCTTACCCTTTTATATACCATTTTTCACGAGAAAGGTACCTCTTTCGTATACTTTCTATTGACAAATGGTACCCCTTCCTCATACCTTGTTTAGAACTTTGCATCCCTTTTCACTGCTGTAAATGCACTGTCGTTTAAATAGGAATCAATCACAAAAGTAAAACCTTTTCACGACTTTATAAAGCCATAAAGTTCATCTGTTAGCCCATTGGGCCCTTTCAAAGACCCAAATGACAGATTTCCCCATCCTTTCGTACACTTTAGCGAGTAAAATCCCTCGCCCTTTCATATACCTGAGGCCTGAGAATGGTATCCCTTTCGGACGGAGCCTCCCCGCATAGGCCATTATAGCGAGTACCCCCCCCCCCGGGATATTTATATACAGTCGAACCTCTCCACAACGGCTACTTAGGGGCGAAAGAAGTGGCCCTTGTGAAGAGGTGGTCGTTATGGGGAGGTTGGGGAGTAGAACATGATTATTGTGCCAACTGAGTTCATGGCTATTTTATGCCATGGTAATCCAATCATAAATGATATATAGAGATAAAATACACACAAAAAAGTAAATGTTTTGAATCAAAATGTGTTAACATGGCAAAACGAGTAAGGCCTGCATAATTCGCTATAAGTATTGTAGACAATTTATGCGTACTGCATCAGAATAAATCTAGCACAATCAAACTACGATCGCCGCGATTAATCATCAACGTGCCATGCGTATCAAATTTCATGACCTTTCTTGACTTTTTCATCAGTCACAGAAAAAACTGTCGTTGTCAAGAGGTTATATTGGCCGTTGGGGACACGCTATAGTGGCCGTTGCCGTTGTAGAGCCGGGTTTAAACAAGAGCCAATGTATGGACTGTTCGCCGGGACAAAAAAAAAGTCGTTGTGGAGAGGTGGCGGTTATAGTTATGTTATAGTGAAGGTTCGACTATGGAAATGTTGTTTTTCAATTTTATCCTTGGCTTAACCCTCGGAGTGGTTGCCACTCCCCTCTCTGAGGTTTTTCTGAGTTTTTCTTTTTTTCCCTAGACGATCAAACAACAGCACCTGAAGTTTTCAGTAGCTGTTCGTTTAACCCTGGAGGGTATTTTGAGACAAGATGGTCAATTACTATGGTTACGAGATATGACGTCACAAGTAGTAGGTGGTCAGCAAGAGAGAATATGAGGTACCTCATTCCATTCTCTCTTGGTGGTCAAGTCATTTTTGAGTGACAATGCAAGTTTTTTAACTTCTTTCTATTATAAAAGTAAAGCTTGTGGATAAAATGATGCAAAATACTTATTTATGTATTTTTTTGTATGTGTAGCTCGAAAAATTACCAATTCCCACCTTTTTTACCTGATTTCTAATTCTTGGTTAATTCCAAGATGGCAGCTAAGATGGCGACCACGTTTGGTGACGGCACAGGTCTCCAGCAGCACCACCACCCATAAAATATACTTCCGGTTGTTAAGAAGATCAAAGGCTTTCAAAAACCCAAGGCAGGTGTTCTACCAATCCTCCCCCTCCCCCTTGTACCACGGTGGGGGAATGACATGCGTGTACGTCCGAGGGTTAAAAGGTTAAATGTGTTTTTTTCTTGGGGTATGGTAATATTTAATAATGAGTTTAAAACAAAGGAAATACAGTTTACACCAAGGATACATATACGCAGATTTATGTGACGAGTTAGGCATAAAGGTATCCACTGACGAAACAGGATAAGAGGGTGCTTGAAGGTGCTGCTGTATGCTTCCAGGGAAATCAACAGTAATTTTGGTAAGGTTTTTCCTCATTGGTTGCAGAAAACAATAACACATCATTGTTTATCATACGATTATTTCCAATCTGACAGATCCTTAAGGTGGCCGATATCTGATGTCTGAAAGAGAAATAGGCACCATTGCCCTAATAGCTAAAACCGAATAATTTCTATCATGACAACATCAGTGTTTAGCGCAGAAGGGGAAAAATTTGTCTTGAAGGGTGGCTTTAGTAAGATAAGATAAGACAACTTTATTTAGACACGGGAAAGTCCTTCAGGCAATTACAAAGGAATAGAAAAAAAAGAAAACCCAGCAACTTATGATATTATACAATAGAATTAAAGAACGAATTTACTTAAATTTGGCTAACACTGATCGTAAAAAAGAAAACTTCCTGCTTTACAAGGACGCTATGTAAAAACCACCCTACTCTGGGAAATTGTGCCAACGAAACTTGTTTTGAAACTTGTCAGTGACGACGCCTGCCTTATTAAAATGTTCCGGTAAACTATTCCACAACCGGAGCGTTCCACAATATCTGAAACTCTTTTGGAAGGTTTCAGTACGGGGAAACGGTACTGCCAGTTTGTTTACGGTATTTCTTACGTAAGGATGGCGTTAAGTCCATATGATTAATAAATTTTAAGCTCAGATGCTCAAGAGTTTCATTATTAAGAGCCTTATTCGTAAGAATAGATAAATCGACATCGACCTTACGTTGCAGTCCTAGTTTATGCCAATTGAGTGACTAAAGAGCTCATCTATCATAGCTAGCATCGTAATTAGTATACGAGCAGCGCAGTTCTGTAGTTTTTGAAGCTTCTGGGAGTGGCCATTGTTACAACGTCCCTAAGCTGCGCTACAGTAATTGAATTGTGGCTGTACAAGAGCGAGAAAAATAGTGACCGTGAGTTTCACGCGGAACAGTTTCTGACCTCCAGATGGCTGCCAAAAGAACTGCATAATAGCAAAGCGAAACGCGCGCGTGCGCAGCACCATACCCATCCGAGAAAATTTGGTATGGCGTGACCGTACACCGAACGACTGTCCGTTCACACCTCAGGAAAACCAATGTTTAATCTTACACTTTCTAGTTAGTTTGGGAGCCCAGGAACAACCTGATATTGCACTCATATTGCACATAAATGTGGAAATCAATTGACAGCTGTCAAAACAGGGTATCCGCTGACCAGTATCACCTGACCGTATGGCGGGCTCCGGAATCGACCCATCGAGTTCGAGTATTGTTTTAGAGTTATCCGCTGACAAGTTACTTCTTTTCAAATGATCGCAGGCTAACGTTCATTTTTTTAATTCATATGAAATAAGTTCTTTTATGTGTCGCACTATTAAAATTTTGATTTCAAACTGACCTCGCAAGCAAAAATTCAGCCACCTGTTACAGGGAGGGAAGAGTGTTGCTTTTGACTTTGTCACCATGGTCACGCGTTGGTCACGCTCTACGTCCAACTTTTATGCCCTGATTGGTCAAAATTCGACAGGTGATTTCATGCGCAAAATCTATGCATCATCTTGAAACTTGCTTACTTTGACAGCTGAAGCTGACAGAGTTTTGTGTCAACTTGTGAACTGTCTTTTTCCACTGGATGTACAAAATGAAATGCAGCTGCTATCAAGAGTCTTCTGTTATTCATGGCTGGTTTGTTTATCGCCTTATTGGTTGAGAAATGCGCCGCTTGTCAAAGTTGAAAATCCTATTTCGGATGGAATCGTTTTTGTTTTCCACCTTGCTTGATGCGCAGGAGGGTTGCAAAGTCTAGAGCGTTTCTGGCCTTACTTTATAGCTGCAGGTGCTGCATCTTGAATGGAAAGCCTGAGTAATTCTTGTATCTGATGTTTACTTTGTTTGTTTGGTTTTGCTTTGTTGTTGTTTTTTTTTCTAATTTCATGAAGTCGAACGTATTTTAATTTATGCGGCTTGTTTGTGCACGTTTGTAAGATTTGAGACAATGATCTGACCTACCCTATCAGGTTTGATCAAATCAATCATTTAATCATTTATTTTAACACGTTACGTCAAAGAGCTAAAAAAACTCGTTCAAAATACGAACGTGTATAAATAAAATCTATAATAATTACGGCTATGTTATAATATTATTCAATTTTAAAAACATCTCAATAAATATATACATATAAAAAACTTGGTAATAAAAACATGAAATATAAAGAGATAAAACCGACTAAAAAGCCACATACTAAAAACGTGACAAGGAAAACTATAATACTCGTTCTAAAAACAGTTAAAAGCTACAATCGTGCGTTATAAGACACTTTCTAAAAAGCTGCAATCGTGCAATTTGCTTCTGAAGTCATTAGCATCACTTGAAAGACGCACTTGAGAAGGCAAGCTGTTCCATAACTTAGTTAATGAATAAGTGAAAGAATTCTTCTTAAATTTAAGATTAAA